AAAGCATGCTGGCTGGGGAATTCTGGGAGTTGAAGTCCACCCGTCTTAAAGCATGCTGGCTGGGGAATTTGGGAGTTGAATTTGGGAGTTTCGTTCTTCCTCTTCCGTGCACACTCGCCCACCCGCACCCGCGTCTTCTCTTCGTGCAAATCTCAGGCTTGCCCCGAACGGCTCCCCCCCATTCCTTACAGTTGCTCCCCCCTCCCCAAATTTTGCTCCCCAACGTCTCCTCGTTAGGATAATTCAGATAGGAGAGACGGGACGAATTTGCACAATTTGCCCACGATCCTGCGTGTGGCTCATGTGGATCCCTCCGGGCCACCCACCCCGGCCTGCTGCGCCCCACGAATGGCTTGGATCTGTGCACTTGTTTGCGTCGGAAAAGCGTTGGAAGTCCGAGCCGATCCCGAACGGCCTGGAACGCGATCTTGGCTCCCTTCGCCGGAAAGCAGGTTCGGAAAGGCTTTTTCGGAGGGACGGTTTGCAAGGCTATACTTAGAGACCCCAAATGAATTAACCCAGGTTGATCCATCCTGGTCCTCTCTTTCCTAGGCCCGGGCCGGAAAGCCCCATCTCTCTGCCCAGCAGGGCCAAGGATGATGGAAGCTGGAGTTAAAAAATGAGATTGCACGGGACAGGCTTACTCTTTGCCTTTCCGGCCTCCCTGGGAGCCCCCTTCCCATCCGGGAAGCAAACGCACTCTGCGTATGCTCAGAAGCCCCCGGCCCTCGTTCCTTCCCAGGCCCCAGGGGCCAGACCCGGCTCTCTGAGAAACCCCCAGCGCCCCCACCCTTAAGTCACCCTTTGGATCAGGTCGCGGATCCACGCGTCTCTGCCGTTCTTCTCCTCCTTTCTTCCTCTCCAACCCTCCTTTTTTCGCCATTGCATCCAGCAAGGCAAAATTGGGGTGTCCGCGTGCTCCCCCAACCTAGAGGATTGCAATATTGGGAAGGCAGAATTAGATTGCTTAGATGGCGGCCTCCTGTTTTTCTGCTCAGATCTGTCAGCTTGTCTCCCTCCCCCTCAAATTCCACATATTTTTTTCCTTTTCTTCCCTTCCTACCTTCCTTACTGCATCCCCTTTTTTTAGAAAAGCAAACCTGTTGACTGCTTTGAAATGTCCACGATGGCACCCATTGGCAAAAAAAATCGGGGGGGCATTTATTTAAAGGGTTCCATTCTCCACCTGGGACTTATACACAAATATGGGTGTTTTTCTTTTAATCTCTCCTTTTTTCCCCCCACCCCTACCTTGCTAGGCACTGAAACAGCTTTAGAGCAGAAGCGTTTCCAGTAAAAACGGGCATGGATATTTTATTTTTTTTTAATTCAGTCTAAAAACACGTAGCGCAGTAAACAGAAGGAACAGTCACATTTAAACAGCAACAGGGGGTCGCCTGCCAAAAATGCGGAGAAAAATACAAACTGTTCCGAACTGACAATGGGAAGGAAGAGGCAGGAGAAGATGATTGAATAATATTTTACAAAGTGGGCTTGTAAAAGGCTCGCGGCTTTTCGCGGTCGCGCTAACTCCTGTTGGAGTGGGGCACGATCCCTTTGGAAAAAAAAAATTCCCGGGATGGAGGGACATTAAATAATGCATTTAAATTCTGAATACCTTTATTAGTTTGTGAGTTACCTGTTTGG